CCCATTCTGTTCAATGCTACGTTATAAATCTCTCTGTGTTATCATTAAAGCAACCCGTTATGTCACAGACATAAAGTGCATTAGACCTTTCTGTGTGTTTATTTATTGAAACCATTATTTCCCAGACATTTGAATGACAAGATCTATCTGGGTGATCAGTAATGCATAACATTCTTTTTCATGAAATTTTATATAGACCTCTCTGTTCTGTTATTAAACTAACATATTATGTCCCAAACATATACTATAATATAGCTTTCTGGGAAGAAAAAATAAAGTGTGTGTGTGTGTGAGTGTGTGTGTGTGTGTGTGTGTGGGGGGGGGGGGGTATTAATGCAACCCATTCCTTCTAGATATGTGTTAAGTTTCACTTCTCAGTCTAGTCAATAAGGTAGCTAGCTACTCATGCTAGATTTTTGTTACAGTCGATGTAACTTATGGTCAATAATGAAACCCTGTATGTCCCAAGCACATATTATACATTTGTATGTGCGGAGTAACTAACAACACAATTATGTGATTTTTGGAGTAAGTAACAACACAATTAAGTGATGTTTGGAGAAAACACAATTATGTGATGGTTGGAGTAACTAACAACACAGTTATGTGATTTTTAGAGTAACTAACAACACAGTTATGTGATGTTTGAAGAAATTAACAACATAACTATGTGATGTTTAGAGGAGCAATTAAAAATACATTTATGTGATGTTTAGAGTCACTAACAACACAATTATGTGATGTTTAGAGTCACTAACAACACAATTATGTGATGTTTGTAGTCACTAACATAAGAAGAGCGAGTTTCGGGGTCTCTAAGTCAATCAAGGTTTATTACAAGTTTACCGACACTCTGAGAGGCAGGTACTCACCGACAAGAGGTAGATCTTCAGACGTGGGTGGCATTTTGTCAGCAACTATCATTAGAAACACAGTCATGGACAAGAGGGTTCGTGATGCCCATTGCGATCTTCTCTCCAGAGTCTGCTAAGTGAACGAATGAACGGTTGAGGTGGAGAGAAAACATGGGTCTATTAGTCACCTGGTTAGTGTGTTAGTTGAAGAGTAGCGTTTTGTCCCAAAACAGTATAGTAATTATTAAAATTATATGAGAAGGGGGTTTGAGAGAGAGAGAGAGAGAGAGAGAGAGAGAGAGAGAGAGAGAGAGAGAGAGAGAGAGAGAGAGAGAGAGAGAGAGAGAGAGAGAGAGTACGAGGGAGAAAAAGACAGAGAGTGAAAGAGAGAGGCACAGCGAGAGAATGGGTAAGGAAGAGCGAGAGAGACAAAGACACACTCACACAAAGGTAGATAGAATGAGAGAGAGAGGGAGAGAGGGATGGAGAGAGAGAGAGAAAAAGAGAGAGAGAGAGAGAAAGAGAAGAAAACAGTGAACTCATAGCTACTTAGTTAGTGTATTAATAATAATAAATATAAGGGAAATACAGGGACTCTGTAGCATAGCGGCTAGAAGCTCAGTCCAAAGGTTTTCTGTTCGAATCCTCATCGCTGAGAATTTTTTCTTCTTCAAAATATAACCTTTACTTTCCAGGTAACTTCCAGTTACTTTTTAGATCAATGACAGAATCCACCCCTTAAAGTGGAAATGAATGCAGAACTACTGAGCCGTCAGGCTAACGTATTATCCCGTGGTGATGCACGGTTCCCAGTGTAGTTGGTGGTGAAGTTATCAAAAACCCATTTGTACACATGATGGTGTTAGGTATATAGTGTGCTAGCTCAATAGTTTAGACTAATCGACACTCGAAATCTGATGTGCTTTTTTATTACTATGTATAAAACATTGACATTCGGCTGACAGGAAAAGATAGCCAAGCAGCTTTGGGATCATCATCTACTAATACAACCACCACCACCACAACCGTTACCACCATTACTTCTGTTGCCGCTACTACCACTGCTAATACTATTTATTACTCCTCCTCTTCCTACTGTTGCTTCTACTACCACTGTTAAAACTATTACTCCTCCTCCTACTACTGCTGCTGCTACGACCACTGGTAATACTATTACGCCTCTTCTTCTTACTACTACTGCTGCTACTACTATCATGCTAATACTATTACTCCTCCAGCTCCCACTACTTCTTTTTTTATTACTACTACTACTAGTGCTGCTGCTTCTGCTACTACTAATACTAAAATTATTACTCTTCCGTCCCATTCTCCTACCACCACCACATCTTCTTTCTTTCTTTCTTTCTTTCTTTCTTTCTTTCTTTCTTTCTTTCTTTCTTTCTTTCTTTCTTTCTTTCTTTCTTTCTTTCTTTCTTTCTTTCTTTCTTTCTTTCTTTCTTTCTTTCTTTCTTTCTTTCTTTCTTTCTTTCTTTCTTTCTTTCTTTTCTTTTCTTTCTTTCTTTCTTTCTTTCTTTCTTTCTTTCTTTCTTTCTTTCTTTCTTCTTTCTTTCTTTTTCTTTCTTTCTTTTTTTTTCTTTCTTTCTTTCTTTCTTTCTTTCTTCTTCTTCTTCTTCTCTCTTCTTCTTCTTCTTCTTCTTCTTCTCTTCTTCTTCTTCTTCTTCTTCTTCTTCTTCTTCTTCTTCTTCTGTATCCAGCTACCTCATCGAAGAGATTATGCGGGGGGAGGGAGGGGAAACAGGTGGGTAGGGGTGAATTGTAACTATCTTATGTGTTCTGTCTAATTATTTGTATAAGTTTATCTTTATTTACACTGGGTACAACAACCACAACAATTGTCAAAAAGAAGATCATCTTGCTGACCTGAAGGCATGTAAAATCCCAGGAGAGCAACCATGGTGATGAGAATACAAGGGAACACCATGTTGAACACGTAGAACAATGGCCGCCGTTTTATCCGTATGTGGTTCTTTATAAAAACATATGGTACTTCACAGCAGGAAAATGTCACCTCCTAAAGAGAAGAACAATTCAAAGTAATGAGTATAAAGGATTACACTAGAGATATTGTGAGACTTAAGAAGTTAAACTTACAGTCTGGAGACGCCCGGCTCTCTAGCGTAGCTGGCTAAACCAGATTGCGCGGAGACCGGGTGACGAACTCCTTGTGGTCCGGGTTCAATCCCGGGGGTAGACAGGAAAGCCACATTTTCTCCCAGATTTACGGTTTTTACAATGCAATCCAGGCCGAAAGGTTGCGATATCCATAATACCAAGCCTAAGGGTTAACAACTCATGGCTTCTGGATACTAAAACAAACAACAAACAGTCTGGAGACATGGAGTTCATATAGCAGTGAGTTATCTGTTGTAGAGGAATGCAAAAACAGTATTATGTCCTTGTTGCTAAGAAACGCATGTTGGGTTGCGCAGTACCCAAGCAGTTAACATAGCTGCGATGTACGGTTGCACGGGTTTCCAAGATTTGAACCTTTTCCATTATCATCCATGGGATGATAATAATAAAGGGTCATCAACATCATCATCCTTTAAAAAAAATCATTACGTTCAATCGGCATCCCCGAAGATGGAGCTTTTGGTTATAATTGTGACTAGGTTATTTGCGTTATTTTAGAATGACTTAACATTGTTCGCCACAAATGTAGCCCTGAAAAGGATTCTGGCAGTTTTGATGCGATCAATGGAGACAGACCCAAATACCATCCCGACCGATGACGAAGTCGTCCACCGGCCAGCCAAAGGCTGACCCCCCAGGGGTCGTGTGTGTCTTGGTAGGGGGTGGGGGTGACCATATAAAAAATCCCACCCACCCACCCTCACCGAGGTGACAGCTTGTTTTAGATCAGACTGCACTGTGGACGAACCAGTCTCATAAATCGATGACAAACAGATTTCGAAATTGTCAAGTCTAAGAAAGATTGCAAAACATAAGAAAAGATAGGGAAAAAAGGTAAAAACATATAAACTATGTATCAGCTTTACAAAGCCACTTACAATAAATAAAGAGGAGACTAAGCGGCAATTTGTGTTTATCAGCAGAGCAACTAAAAAAAAAAAATATACCGCGCTCGCGGTGTACGCGCGCACACACGCACACACACACACACACGCACGCACACACACACACACACACACATACACACACACACACACACACACACGCACGCACGCACGCACGCACACACACAGACAAATGAACTAACTGAAATGACAACATTATGGTGTTCTATGAATAGTAGTAACAGTAGGAGTGGTAGAAATAATAGTAGTAACAGTAGGAGTGGTAGAAATAATAGTAGTAACAGTAGGAGTGGTAGAAATAATAGTAGTAGTAAAATAATAGTAGAGTAGGTAGAAATAATAGTAGTAGTAGTAAACAGTAGGAGTATTAAATAGTAGTAGAAATAAAATAGTAGTAACAGTAGGAGTGGTAGAAAATAATAAGTAGTAGAAACAGTAGTAGGAGTGGTAGTAGAAAGTAGTGAGTAGTAGTAATAGTAGTAACAGTAGGAGTGGGTAGAAATAATAGTAGTAACAGTAGGAGTGGTAGAAATAATAGTAGTAACAGTAGGAGTGGTAGAAATAATAGTAGTACAGTAGGAAAAATAATAGTAGTAACAGTAGTAACAGTAGGAGTGGTAGAAATAATAGTAGTAACAGTAGGAGTGGTAGAAATAATAGTAGTAACAGTAGGAGTGGTAGAAATAATAGTAGTAACAGTAGGAGTGGTAGAAATAATAGTAGTAACAGTAGGAGTGGTAGAAATAATAGTAGTAACAGTAGAGTAGTAGTGGAAGTAGGAGTTATAGTAGAAGTAGGAGTGTAGAAATAATAGTAGATGTAGCATTAATAGTAGTAACAGTAGAGGTGTTAGTAGTTGTTGTTAACAGTTGTAGCAATAATAGTATAGTAGATGTAAATCATAGAGTAGTAGTGGACAGTCAGTAGAAAAAATAGTAGTAGTTGTAGATTAGTAGCAACATTAGTAGTAGTAAGCAACAGCAACAGCAGGATCATAACAAGCAGTATCAGAAATACAAGCAGTAGCTGCAAGAGTAGTAGCAGCAGTACAAGAGTTACCGACCTCTCTCTCCTGTAAAAAGCTGACCAACTCCCACTCGGTGCTGTTCTTGTAATTGGACAGATCTCCCTTGTCCCCTCCCATGACAAGGAGATTCACGCTGTTGGCATCATACGTCCAGGAGGCGAACTCCAGAAGACAGTGCTGTAGATACCATTATATATTTGTAGTCATCGAGCCATCACATTGTGGACACATATATCACTATTACCTTGTTCTGCGAGAATGCATTTATTTTTCAATCTACCAGCTGTAGATTTGTGTACATTACTCTCTGCTATTTCTACATTTGTCACATTTACCTGTCTACTAAGTTTTCATTTGTCACATTTACCTCTTTATCAACTCTCCATTTTCCCCTTATTGTATCTACTAACAACACATTCGTAACATTTACCCATTTACTAACTTACATTTGCCACCGTTACTTATCTGCCAGGGTTATTCTCTATAGCATATTTACTTATATGCCAACAGTATTATTCGCAGCAGAATGCTTATCCGCGGAATCAACATGAGTTACATTTACCTATTACATTCAACTATCACATTTATATATCACATGTACTTATACGTCAACACTCATGCCTCACGTTTCCCCAGACCCCATCGCTTTGTTTCTTCCTCCTTTCTTCATGTATGTCTAATGTTTCTTTTTCTCACAGTCCATGCCGTGTATCGTTGATAGTCATGTCCTATCTACAACTTTTTATCTCGTGTACTTACAATCAATTCTGACACAGATGGTCTTCCATACCATGATGTCAAACTTTTCAACATCTTTTCTCTCAGCCCTCCTCCCTCCTGTCTCCCCCCCCCCACCAGCTTCCCCAACATCACGATGCACCCCAGTTTTCTCCTTCTGATGACACAACTAACGAATGTCTGTTTACTGTAAGCAAAAGTTACCTGTGTATCAAACGGGAAATACTTCACGTCAATGGCACAGGAACTCTTGAAGATCACCATGGAGAGCCACATGACTTCTCCACTCGACTGCAGTATCACGTTTGTACTCACCGACTCCGAGGTGATGTGGGCACTGAAAATACATGGTTCAATAATACTGAAGTTGCAAAAAAAAAAAAAAATTAACATAAAAAAAAAAGAAAATGAAAAAAAGGACCCCTTTTAACGCCTTCAGGCGTATCGGACATATAATGATAGACCAATAGTTTACAGACCAATCGGCACTTAGTGGGTGATGTGGTCAACGTCACGCCGGCCGTTTTTTAAATCTGCCCAGAACTTTAACTGATAGTTCCCATCTTAGGCTGGGTGAACCAGGTAGCCAAGGCCATTTTCAAAAACAGTGCGTCTCAATTTGAACCTACAACCACCTGGCTCGCTTGCATAGTTGGCTAAAGCGAACCTCGCGACGACAGGGTGACGAACTCCTTGTGGTGCAGGTTCACGCGCGGGAGCAGGCAGAAAAGCCACATTTCTCCCAGATTTACGGTATCTATCACGGAATCAAGGCCGAAGGGTTGCGATATCCACAGTACCCAGCCAAAGGGTTAACAGCTCATGGTTTCTGGATAGTAAAAAAAAAAAAAAAACTACAACCTACAACCGACCTGAGGCCAGCGTCTATTCATTAATTGTATTCCGTGGAGAGTAAACCTCACAGATCATTGGAGAAACTAAAGAGTGAATGAAATTTATACCAGAGAAACTGTTGCAGCTATAGACAGGTTATTTCAGACGAATGAAAGAAGCAAATTTAGTGGTGCTTTCAGCTATAAAATGATGTTTTAATGATGCTTTCATATTGCAGTGTTTTAATAAACGAGTTAAGAAATCAGATGTAGACAAGACAACATTTATTTGAATGTGATGAGAAGATAGCAGAACATCAAAGGAAAGACAAAATGAAATAATGCTTAGATGGTTTGACCAAATTAATAAAATGATTATTCTTCTCATCCTTCTGTGAATAATACGTGAGCATTTACTAGAATGTGGCTCTGTGTTTTGCAATCGTTTCAGTCAACATGTCATAATCTTATAGGAGAAAATTAGAATAATACAAAATAATGACCTGTAACTTAGTGGTAGGACTCGAGATTTCAAATTAAGTTCAAATGGGTCACTCCGTAATTGTTTCATTCCCATGGCAGTGACAAATAAATGGCAAAACCCCTCGCTGTCCCATACAATAGCTAGTGGACAAACAGTCAGCTCTGACAAAATCCAGAAACACACACACGCAGTAAGTGCATAAGACAGGCGCTAGAGATGTGTTGATGGAAGTAAAATGTTTGTTACAATAAAACGGCCATACACGTGCAGAATTGTTTCATAAGGTATTTTGCCAGCCCAAAGGCAAACCTGTAATCCGTCTTATTCGAAAAAAAAAAACCAACAACAACAACACAATACACAGCGGCCGCGGGCTCAGACGAAAGACATTCCACAAGAAACACACAGCTTACAGTGCTGCACCAAGCACTTAACCAGTAGCATACGCAGCGAAACCGTAGACTTCAAATCCATATGTGGAAACTATAACAAATCACTTTAAAAAAAAAAAAAAAAATAACCTCTTGTTATTTTTGGAAACTGCAATATTCAGCCAGTGAGTCAGTAAACGCATCATTACACTGACCTGTTGTAAAGCACAATATCTGGCAGCCAGACAGTATCAAAGGGCACGTTAACTGTTGAAATGTTTCCATACTTCATAGGTTCCCACCGGAGCTTCGGGTCAATCCACATCTGTTGAATGTAGTGTGAGATATGACAGTCATAAACTTTTTTCGCCCTACGTTATGTCATTTAATCTTCTATGCTTGGATGTAGAGGTATTTATAGATATTGAAATACATCATTTCGACTTACCTCAGACTACTTACACATACAGATAGACACCCACACACGAGCGCACACACATACACACTCATTGACCCATACCCATTTTTATGGGTGTGTACTTGTAAATGTCCTGGTTAGTTCGACGTTAATCTCCCCAAATAGAGTAGGTCACTTTTCGTTTTCAAGTTTGCTGGGCTGGTCGACTTTCCTGAAGGTTACAGATGTGTCTCGCTCTGTTGTTTGGTTTCTGTGATGTCTCGCAATTAATTTTTCATTCTGAGAAAGAGAATGCCTGTGACATAGGTTGCAGCACTCTCTAGGGGAGTTGTGTTAGACGCAGTTTCTCCATGTTTATGGAATGTTAAAAGCGCTGGCGTGCTGAAATATACAATATGCTATATCATAGGCATTGTGGAACACCCCTGTAACCATGTGCGAAGGTTACGGAAGTAAGCTAGTGTGTATACAGGCGGGGTCTAGGGAGACTACCGTCGAACTAACCATATGTCCCACCAGCCACACAGAACACACACACACCGCATACACAAAACACACACACAACCCACACAAAACACGCACACAACCCACACAGGTCTGCAGGTTACTTGGTATCAGCACAGTTCCCAAATATAATTGTTTTATACGGTTAGGAGTCAGTCTTCCTTGATGTTTACTGGTCTCAGTCCCCTATCATGAACCTAAAGGGCGAACATTCTAAACCACCGTCGTACTATCTCAGTTCACGGAACAGGCGACTGGTGAGGCTTTTGTTCATTAGCCTCTGTTTGAAAACAATCTAACTTTTCGGTTTCCTGTCTGGTCATGATCTACGTAATCTCACAACAGACTTCCGCATACTTTAGAACTTCGCAATGGTGGTTTAAAAGATTTGTAATTAAAGTAGATGATGAGAAAGCGATCATTACTCTCTCTATGCTTTTGTAAATCCCTTTATTTGACTGGATATTATTATACCCTTTAAGATAAAGGACGTATTACAGTTTTTTGTTTGTTTAAACAGTGTTTGGGTGAATCTTTGGACCCATCAAAGATGCAGACAGCGGGAAATATAGAAGAGAAGCAGAAATGAAATTTCATAATCTGTTTGAATCACCACTGACCACTGTCACCTTTAGGGCTGATAACTGAAATGCTTGGGCAATTTGGAAAGAAATCGGCAGATGACAGAGAGGCAAAATGGTATACTTCAGGAAGTTGACTAGCAGTATACACGAGGCAGTATCCAAGGAGACCTACAAATATTTGATGTCACCAACTAGGAAGAGAAAACCAGTCGCAAAAATCAAATAGGACACAGGTGATATCTACAGCAATAAATCGCAAGGGCTCGGAATGCTAAAGAAAAAGATTATATTATTATAATATAAAATGTATGTTCTGTGCAAACTTTACCGGACATTTTGTTAATAATACAAGTGAAGTTTGCTCTCTTGTTCACTTCACCAGTAGCATTAGTGGTCATGTCGGTCTTCAGCCTTCTTGATTATAGACCGCAAATAACTTCTGATATAGATTCTCCTAATAATGTCTTTTTACTTATAGATTCTTCTCCATGCCATTTTACCGATTCGTCCCACATCTTTTCTCTTGCTCTCCCTTGTCTTTCTTTCCCTGCAACTTTCTTACTGACACGATTAACGCCACAACAACAAATTGCTAATGCTGCTGGTGCTGCTACAGCTACTACTACTTCTACTTCTAGTACAAAAGTAGTACTTGCACAGCAGCTACAGAAGCAGCAGCATTAGTAGTAGTAGTAGTAGTAGTAGTAGTAGTAGTAGTAGTAGTAGTAGTAGTAGTAGTAAAAGAAGTAGTAGTAGAAGAAGTTGTAGTAGTAGTGGAAGAAGAAGAAGAAGAAGTAGTAGTAGTAGTAGTAGTAGTAGTAGTAGTAGTAGTAGTAGTAGTAGTATTAATAGTAGTAGTAGTAGTAATAGTAGTAGTAGTAGTAGTAGTAGTAGTAGTAGTAGTAGTAGTAGTAGTAGTAGTAGTAGTAGTAGTAGTAGTAGTAGTAGTAGTAGTAGTAGTAGTAGTAGTAGTAGTAGGAGAAAAAGAAAAACAAAAATAGTAGTAGTAGAAGAAGAAAAAGAAAAAGAAGAATAAGTATTAATAGTAGTAGTCGTAGCAGCAGCAGCAGCAGCAGCAGTAAAAGTAGTAGTTACACACACACACAAAAAAGAGACACGAAACGTACCTGGTTAATCCAGCAATTAGTAGTTATAATTTGATTTTTCTCATCCTGAAATGTCAAACAAGTCAACGAGTTAACACAACAATGTCTGTTGCTACTGGTATTCGGCTACTTAAACTATATACAACAAATAATGTATAGGTTACCTGTGATATCACTTCATGTGTGATGTACGGATCACACCAGTCGCCTTTATTCCAAAGAGCATTTCCTTGTACCAATGTTTAGCATGAGTCGATCTGGGAGAATAGTAAAATTAAAGGACCTTTCTATGCCAGGCGCATCTGACACTTGATGCTGTACTCAAACTGTTATAGGCAAGTTGTCACTCATTTGATGATGTAGGAAACATCACGATGGCCGCCTTTACTTCCATTACCTGGTACCCATTTTAGAAGGGTCAATTTTGAAACAAATCCGTCTCGATGTAGATTGGAACACAGGAGCTTTCGGGCCGTCAGGGAAGCGTTTGGCCACTACACAACCGAAGCTGCTCTCTTTGCATGAACATGCTTCAGAAGATAGCAACAGACGGTATGCGCTCTGAATGAGTAGAAAGCATTCGAAAATCGCACTTAACCTCCCTGATCTGGATCTACACACTTGGTCATCATAATCATCATAAATTTGAGGTGGCCAACTTCAACCGCTACCTAGCGAGCTAACCTCTCCTAGATAACATTAGTTATAATTGTGGCTCCTGTCCATGCTCTTACTTCATTGTGCGTTTCTCAGTGTTGAAGTTCCCAAGTCTGTGGAACTAGGTTTACTGTGTGTTGTCTGTAGGGCTATCATCTTAGTGCTGCTTGGTTAGTTTAGTGCTCTTTATGTTGCCGGATTATACGATCTCTGCCACTGTTTACTGTCTGTAGGGCCGTCAACTTAGTGCTGATTGGTTAGTTTAGTGCTCTTTATGTTGCCGGATTATATGATCTCTGCCACTGTTGCTGGCCTCTGTTTCGTTTTCATAAAGTATCTGCTACTGTCGTTGCCCTGTTAAAGTCAGTCATGCGGTTTGTTCCATCGTGTGATGTGTCGGTGGTTTCCACTACGCGGCATATACCAGAAGGATCTCAGCTGTTGTCTTGGGCGTAAAGGGTTTTGCGCGAGGGGGCCAACCGGACAGGAATGGACAAAGCAGATATTATCAACACTGTACGGACTGGGCTAATGGATAATGACGAATCTCTGACACTAATACGTTTGCGTGACATGGGATTAAAGCATGGTAAAGCATGACTATGCAACCTTTGAGGCTGAGATAGGAGACATTATAACCAACTTCTCATGGGCTGAATCGGAGGACTTAGCAAGCATGGGAATGCCCAGTGTGCAATGACGTCACCTATGATAACATAATATCTCTTTCCATCAATCTCGCTAGTTGTTATCAAGTTCTCGGGTCAATTCTTCTCATAATATGCAAAAAGAATAGTGAAGTTTGAAGTTCTGAACAATGGATCAATATCATATCACACGGGTAGTAACCCATAAGTGCTCCGTTCTTCTTCTAGCTCAAGTCTGAGTCAGAAGAAGCTCAGCACAGTGCACAGACTCTGTAGCACCGGCGAGGATCCTGAAATACTTTGGGCCCATTTTTAACTCCAAATTTTGTCCGGGCAGCGTCTTTAGACTACTTTTTCGATTTCCAACTGCCTAGGGATTTTTTACGTGCGCAACAATGCACACTGGCGTCCGATTTCACTACACAGAGACCGGGGGAATTATTAGAAGTCCAAGTTCACGTGAAAAAATCCCAGCCCTTACCGGGAATGGAACCTGGAACCTCCAGCACTCGAAGTGGACACCATGTCTCCAGAGCACGCAGCTCCCTTCCCCCGCCTCCCCCTAAATAGTGACTGTCTACTTTTCTTTAACTGTTCTAATCAGTTTACCACTTTTAGCTGCCTCGTCAAGAACTGTTTCTTTTGTTTTTCTGTGTTAATTGTAATTGTCTATTTATATTTAACTAATAAATTTTTATTCTATTATAGAAAAAACTCGTTAACACTAATTCCATGGAATTGAAAATTTAAGAATTTATGTTAGAATAATGCGTGACGTGCTGGGTGGCGACTTTGGAGATAACCGCTGCTTCCCTGAGCACAAGAAATCACCACCACCACAACCATCATCATCCCCATCATCATCGTCGTCGTCATCATCAACATCATCATCATCATCATCATCATCATTATTTCCACTTCTATCGTTAATCGTTGTAGGGAGGATTAGTTTACGATCCATTGCTTTATGGGAAGGGAGCACTGGCTACTGTTATTCCATGTCGATGTAGAAGCTCTTTAATGTCATCGATCCATGTTCTACTAAGGCAGCCTCTTGTTTTAACTTCAGATCTGTTTATGTGTAGCGCCTGCGTTAGTAGTTGTTCTGGCTGCATTCTTACTCAATGACCAAACCATTTGATCTTCTGTTTCTCAGGGAATTTACTGCATGATGTTGTTACTACAGTCTGTCTGATCATATCATTTCTAACTTTGTCTTGGATGGTTAAGTTGGTGGTTTTTCTCTGGTACTCATTTTACAAGTGTTGCTTTTACGTAGGTTAGCTTTTGATAATATCCAAGTCTGGCACTGGTAGCACAGTACTGGTATTAATATGCTGTTTATAATCTGTTTCTTGGCGCTCATACCTATGTTTGGATATGTCAATAACGGTGTCAGTATATAAGTGCACTGGCTCGTTGGCCTCTTGTTATTATTTCCCGATCTATTCTCTCCTTCTTCGAGCATATACCTCCTAGATATTTAAATACTCAAACTTGCGTCAGACAAGTACCATTCAGCCCGATATGTAGCGGACTAGGAATTCTGCTGACCTGCATTACTTCAGTTTTAGTAGTATTTATTTTCGTGTTATATCTACAACATGTTGAGCTTTGGCAGTTCAAATGTTTTTGCAGACTACTCCGTTCATTGTACGACAGGTCCAGCAAACTGGTAGATAACTTTTTGATCAACTGATATTGATCGAGAATTATGGAGGAAATTACAGGAAAAGCGAGATTCTATCAACGCTGTTAAGACCACAAACACAAATAACGATTGAAAAAGCGAACAACAACAGCTACAGCAAGAAGTAACAGGTGCAGTAATTTTATCAGACTCCATGAGCATGTTTCAGAAAGTCGCTACAGGCCGTCAATGTTCTCAGTGGGTTGAAAGCATCCGGAAATGACACTAACTTCCATCACTTCGATGTACGCACTTGGGCATACAGGAATAACAGGTAGCAGGCCAGCTGGTAAGTAATGCACCAATGCATATGGGGAGAAGCATGGACAGAGCTGATCGCACTATACAGACTATGCTGAGGGATAATGATGAATCTCTGAGGCAAACACGACTATATGACATTGAAGTAAAGCTTGATGAAGCACGTCGTTGCCGGCGTTGAGACCAGCCTATAAAACACTGTAACCAACTTCTCATTTGAACAATCGGTAGAGTACCTTGAAGTGGCTACTGCATCGGAGGACTGATCACGCATGGGAATGCTGAATGTGCAATGATGTCGAGTAGAATAACAAAACATTACATTCCTACTAAGCCCAAACAATTTTCATCGTAACAAAATGTTCGATTTAGGCAAGCTCGCATTAACGAGATTTGAGTGTTTATTATTATTGTAATGTTCATGACCACTGGAAAGATCTGTGGAAGGAGGGATAGAGGAAGACAACGAGAGAAGATGCTTGACAGTCTTGTTACATGGCATGGACGTGTGTCGGCACATGAACTGATACATGATGCAGGATATTGCACATTATGGAGAGGCATGATCGCCCCACGCCAGTCGGCAAGGCACCTGATGATGATGATGAATGTTCATGATGATAATGATATGCCTCTTCGAGCGGTTTTTAAGAATGTGTTTAAACAGCTGAAATGTGTGGAACAGATGGAGATAATATGTTGGTTCTGGAGCCACATTGTGGAAACACAAACCAAGAAGAGACCCACGGCTTCTCAAGTAAGAACGTCAAAAGAGTCGACTAATGAGAGATTTTCTTCAAAGTTGGAGTGCAACTGTCTCAGAGGATAGGAACCAACAGCCTACGTACAAATAAGCCAGATTTGAAAACAGATATGCACGCAAGTTCTGGAAAAAGACTAAAATCTATAAGTGGACAAACAATTAGAACTTTCTACAGGAGTTTACAGCTGATGAACGGGAAGTAGTATTAGTAGTAGTAAGTAGTAGTAGTAGTAGTAACAGCAGTAGTAGTAGTAGTAGTAGTAGTAGTAGTAGTAGTAGTAGTAGTAGTAGTAGTAGTAGTAGTAGTAGTAGTAGTAGTAGTAGTAGTAGTAGTAGTAGTAGTAGTAGTAGTAGTAGTAGTAGTATTAGTAGTAGTAGTAGTAGTAGTAGTAGTAGAAGATCCATAACCAAAAAATAAGCAAAGAAATAAAGAAAAGAAAAAAAAAAAGAAACAAGAGAAGAGGAAGAAGAAGAAGAAGAAGAAGAAGAAGAAGAAGAAGAAGAAGAAGAAAAAGAAGAAGAAGAAGAAGAAGAAGAAGAAGAAGAAGAAGAAGAAGAAGAAGAAGAAGAAGAAGAAGAAGAAAAAAGAAGAAGAAGAAGAAGAAGAAGAAGAAGAAGAAGAAGAAGAAGAAGAAGAAGAAGAAGAAGAAAGAAGAAGAAGAAGAAGAAAAAGGAGAAGGAGAGGAAGAAAAGGACAATTAGGGATTAACCCTATTTTAAATAACTAATTGTACAGACACACAAACACACTTATTTATGCTGCTCACTAACTTTCGACTGAATTTATTTTAAAAAAAAATAACATGAAACTATTTGATCAATCACATCGCGGATCCTTCAATTGGTAGCGACAGAGATAAATTATGCATTTATTTATTTGACGCTTTCGCTTATGCTTTCAAACATATCTTTGTTTTTTTTTTCCAAGGATGCTTACTTAAATCTGCAAATTATTGATTTGGCAAACATTCTCACAAGCAGCCTGGCATATATCACATTGTACCGGAAGAGCTGTTAAGCGTGTAAGTTAATCTAGGCGACTGGCACA